TCTACTATCTTTTTGCCAATATGGAATGAGAAGGGGTATAAAAAATCAGAAAAGGGCAACTGATCCTACTTTTAGTCTAAACCTTCATAAAATTTGAAAAGTTGTGACTTTGAAACAGTTTTTATTCTTTTTAACCTAAATGTTGACTTTCCATGAGCATCCTATTCAATAAGAAGATGCATTTGAATGATAAAGTGGTTTTCAGCTAGATTTGCCTTTTTGGTATGACGACAAAGATAAGTTTACTTTATAGTTTCCTTTATTATATTGTCTACCTTGCTGCCACCACCTATCTGTACTCTATAACCTTTAAAAGTAGCATATTTCTTCATGAATTTTGCTACATAGTCCCAGTTTTGAAAAGTTTTACTAACAAATAGTTCTAATACATCTATTATATCCACTGCATTTGTCACATCCACTATATCTGTTACATCTACTGCATCTATCGCATCTACTGTATTCATCATATTTACCATATCTTGTAATATCATTAAACCTAAAAATTAGAAGATAAGCAAGAAAATATTAGATATGTTAATTTTTACAACTTTTACAACTTACTAACTAAAATATCTTACTTCTTACCCATCTGTATCAGAAAAGTCTTCTGCATTATCATATGCTATCAATTCGTCAAATTTCTTATCCATTATAAATGAAAACGAAGGCAAGCTATAAAATATAAAAAAGTTGATAAAGTCAAGTATTGTAAGTTATAAAAAAAGGTAGTTATATAAATCTGATAAAATAATTCTATATATAACAAGTCAGATTGCAAAGAAATAGTAGATAAAATAACTCAAATTAAACAATAATAAGTCATAAGGTCAGTTTTAAAGCAAATTCTAAAAGAAAACGTTACAATGCCAAAAAATAGGTCAATTTTTGTTTCTTTGCTTTGAATTTCTGTAAAAAAAAAGTTCATATTTTAGGTAATGAATATGTCAGTTCTGATGTTATAATAAAAGAACGACTAATATTAGTACTTTCATTAAAAAATAAAAAAACTAAAGCCACTTACGCAATATGTATAAAGGTGTAAGCCTTTTCATATAACTATTCGCAGAATACAAAAATTTAATAGCATGTGCGCATATTTCATATATTCTCGTACATGATATTTTTGTATTACACGAATTTGTTTATATAATCTCAAATATGATTGGTCAATCTTGAAGGGTCGCTATAATGACCTGAGTCGTTAATTATAATTTTCCATAATTATATTATTAATATTAATATTTTATTTTTTATTAAAAAATTAATATTTTTTTTTATGTTCACAGGCAAATTTGCCTGCTTTACAGTTTAAGGGATTGGATAAATTAAATCTAACTCTGATTGAAAATCTATATGATAATATATACTGAATTTTAAATATCCATCTTGGTGATAATAAAAATCGCTAATATAAGGATTACTAGAATGAATTCAAATTTTGTTAGATAACCATTAATATAAGATTCCTAAAATGAACTCAAATCAAGTTAAATAACCAGACTATACAAAAGAAATCAAGAGCGCCAATAAGGCAAAGAAAGAGCAATATAATAAAATAAATTATAATATTACGGAATAACGTCACAAATATACTGTCAAATATACTGTAATAAATACTCGTTATATTTATAACATGCCTTCATAATATGACAGTTTAAGCTGTTTAAGTTAAAATAATATATCTGGTACATTTATTATTTATATAAACAATAAATGTCTTAGATATATTATATAGCTAATGTTAATAGGTAGTAAAATTCGTAATAGATACTATGTGAAAATAAGTTTATATTATTTTTTTAAAAATTAAAAAATAATTAATTATTCATTAAATTTATAATTTATTAGCAAACCATTATCAGTTATACATCTGAGACATGCTATCAAATAACTTTCTCTTGAAATTTGTTCCTATTCTTCTTTTAATTGAACTTCTAAGTACGCAAGATTTTTAGGAAGATCTATAAATAATAATCAAGACGACTCTAAAGATATTCAATGGGTAACATTTTAATTTATTTTCTTTTCTGTAATCTATGTTGAAGGTTAATTATGAAATTTTGAGTGAATAAAAGTCTTCTCACCAATAGAACTAATCCTTTGCAAAAAAAATATCTCCATATTATAATTTCATTACTATCATATTTAACAGAAAGATTCAAATTCTCTCAAACTTGACATTATGAAAAATGTTACTTATCCATACACATTTTAAATTATTTTAACATAAGCTTTTTGACTAGTTGTAAAACTAATTCATTTTTTATTATTAAAATTTTTTGAATTTGATAGACTTAAATTAAATGAGAAATCTGTAACTGTTTTCTTATTCTTCATACTTCTTTTCCATTCTGTATTAGTAAAAAAAAATAGTAAATGAAATTATTTTCTTATTATCTTTTTATTCTTTTTAATAAAATACTTATATTTTATAAACTCTACTCATTCTAATCTAATACTTTTTCAGAAATTATTCACTATTTTAAAGAATCAATATTAGAAGTATTATTTGAAATTCTAATGATATATATAATAATTATTTAAATAATTGGTAATTTTTAATAAATATCTAATATTCTTATTAATTTAAAATTAATGATATTAATTCAATAGCATATTGAATTATATATAAAATGTTTGAGAATTTTAATTATAATTAATAGTTATTAAAGCCAATTATTTAAATTATAATATTATACTTTTATATTAATTCAAAATCTCTATTATATTATAAAAAGCTTTGATTATATTATTAAAAAATTCTGAATATTATAAAATTTTTAAATATTTAAACAACTTTAAAAAATTTTTTAAAATCAAAGTAATGTATTTTTATATTATCAATAATATTTTATATTTTACCTTTTATATATATTATATATAAGAATAATAAATTAGCTTAATATATTTATTTAAATATGATATTTATCAATAATTGAATATAAAATATATTTTAAAAAAAGGATAATATTTATATTATTATTTTTTTAACTATTCTTTTATATCTTTTAAATAAACTTAGTATTTTTTTTATTTATATAGATTTTTTAAAGATTTAGAATTAAAGTAATATCAAAATTTCTCATAATAAGATTTTTTTCAATTTTATAAGTTTTATTAAGATTTATTTAAATTACAAAAATTTTAACTTTTATTTTCACCTTTTTAATTAATAATTAATTTTTTTTTCTTACTTTTATTATTTTTTTTAAAATACATTTTTTCAATAAATAATTAATTAATAAATATAAATATAAAAAAAATTCTAATTATTTTAAATAATTATAAGTTTTAAAAATAATAAAATAAAAAAAAAATTTGTAAAAATTTATATGATTTTTATCAAGATTAAATACAAAATTTAATTTCAATTAGCTAAATAAATTTAATGATTTTTCTTAATAAATTTTCAAAAAAAAAGAAAAATGAATATCATAGATAAATAAGTTTATAAATATTAAATAAAATAGCTAAAATATAATTTATATATAGTAATCTAAAAATTAATTATATTGCCAGACATATACAGATAAAGTTTTTGCGTGATTTTTTCATAATTATTAAAATTTTTTAAAAATATTCTTTATGATTTATATATAAGCAATCTTTCAAAAACATTTACTTTAAAGTATTAATATTATAAAAAATAGATCAAATTGTAATTTTTTTTATAATTTTCTTCAAGTTATGTTTATTAAAATATAATTTTATGATATTTATGAAATTTACAGTTAAAATATAATAAAAAAATTAATTTGTAAATGTTTTTACTAAATATATTATAAAAATAGATTTTCTTATAAAAATAAAATTGATAAGTATATAATTATCATAAAATTTCAAAAATCATATAATTGTTTGAATCCTACCTTTTGCTATGAACCTGTTTATATAAAAAATAAAAAATTTCAAAATAAAATATTTAAAATTTAATTTTCAAATAATTGCATTAAAAAAATATAAGATTCTTGAAAAATAATAAGAAAATTTTATATTTTTAAAAATTTAAAAATATATTTAGTTAAAAAATAAAATCAGAAAACTTATTAAAATATTATAAAATTATATTTACAAACTGAAAATAATTAAAAATTAATGATTTAATTACTTATTAAGTTAGATAATTAAATTTATTAAGAAAATTTATATTATATTATATAATTAAAATAAGTTAGAATTCTTTAATAATATTTTATTTAGACTAATATTATCTTAGATAGATAAAATAATTAGATTATACTAGAAAATAAAAACTATTGTAAGTCTAAAATAAATAAAGAATTTTTAATGTAACACAATATAATAAATAATATAGAATAATAAGTAACATATCATTAATAATACTAGAGTGGATACCATCATATGATATAATTATATCATATAGTGGTATCCCACTTGCCTAGATTATACAGAGGCCTACAGTAATTTACCGGATTTTTTATTATTTATAAAATTTATATACATAATGCGAGTTTTTATCTG